AAATGAGATGAGATGTATGGAAGCACTTTGTAAACTGCAACAAACTATATAAGCATTCAACATTATACTTATTAAATGTATCGTCCTATCTTTTCAGTGGCCCTGTGAGGTGGTAAAATGGATATTATCCCTATTTGTCAGAGAAGTTAAGTGACTTACAAGCGTACAGTGTTAGAGATCTTCTAAGCCAACATTGTTTACAAGGTAGGAACAAGGTTTGGAGAGGTTAAGTGACTTGCTCTAAGTCAAAAAGCTTGTTAATGTCAGAGCCAAGTCTAGAATCCTTGACCTTTCAGAACATTGCTCTTTTAACATTGACTTCTATGATAAGAAGAAAGATTAGCCAGCTGATGCCCTGGGGTTCTGCTGGCACTTCTCTTGACCTTTTAAATCACAGATTTATCTTCTAATCCTTTGCAGCCCGCAATTAGTGGTGCCATCTCAGAATGGTGTGTTTGGATTTCTAAAAGGAAGTTAGAATTTCACACATACTAGTTTTCAGAAATAGCCTCATATGATTGTCTCATACCTACTTACAATGTGGATGCATAATAAAGAATAGCCTCTCCTACAGCTAGCAAATGATTATCCTCCCTCATAGAAATTTCCACATAAATCTTATTCATAAAAATGCCAATAGCACTTTGTTCTAAGAAAAGCTTTCTTTGCATTCTAAGTATTATAAATCATTCTTGTTATTTGATGATAAATCTTTGTATCTTAGACTAAAACTCAGCATTTGTTTTCATTTGTTATACCTTTCTCTAAATGAATAAGATTTTGTATAGAAAATATAGCTAAAGGACATTTAAACAAGTTTCTAGCAAAAAAGTATTCGAATTGGTCTTCTCTAGTTGAGGCTTTTCTTCACTACTGTGGCTTAATACTTATGTCAAATGCTAAACATAAGACTGCACAAGGATTTCAGGGATACTCTGACAAGTGGAGAAATCATGATCATAAAAACTTTTAGCCACTCAGAAAAGATTCTGATCTAAATATTAAGTAGTTTGAAATGACAGTGAGGCTCTTGTTTATTGACTCCTATGGTTCCTCCGTGGAAGCGTGCTCGAGGCCCTGTCAAATCAGATCTCACAATGGTCACAGCAGGAACAAGGCTGGGTAAGTGGCAGAATTAGGAGTTAGAGGACACAGAAGAATGAGATTGTGTACCTCTTCCTTGAACCCAGACAGTTTTGAGGATTAGCAAATTACTGTCTGCAAAACATGGTGGAATCCTTGGATAGCTGATACTAGATAATTGTGACAGAGAAGTGTTGTTTTTAATGGAAGCTAAAAATGATCTATAGTAACACTAGGGAATGGTCCACATTTGGGTGTACTTTGTATTCCTCTCATTTTGTTGACTTTAGACACAGCGTAATCCCCAAGCCCATCTGGAAGATGAGAAACCAGAGCCTGCGAACCATTTTATAAGCCCCATCCTTTCCCTTAGGTGTGTTCTCCAGCTTTCGCAATACTCACTAGGCACAGACAAAGGCTGATCTTTCTGCAAATAGCACTTTCCTTCCCACAAATAAAGAAAAGGGAAAAAGGAGGAAAAATGGAACAAAGGGAGAAGGAATGAAAGGAGGTCTGCAACCCACTTATCTGTCTCATTTGCCTGGAAAATTATAGTATGCTTTTTTCCTCCTGGGCATGTATTTAAATGGTAGATAGACATCAATCAATAAAATGATAGATGGATAGTTGCTAAAATGTTTCTGAAGGTTTTTTTTTTCTTTTTTCCCCCCATCAATAGAGATGAACAGTTTCTGAAGGTTTTTTTTTTTTTTTTTTGAGACAGAGTCTCACTCTTTTGCCCAGGCTAGAGTGAGTGCCGTGGCGTCAGCCTAGCTCACAGCAACCTCACACTCCTGGGCTCAAGCGATCCTCCTGCCTCAGCCTCCCAAGTAGCTGGGACTACAGGCATGCACCACCATGCCTGGCTAATTTTTTCTATATATTTTTAGTTGTCCGATTAATTTCTATTTTTAGTAGAGACGGGGTCTCGCTCTTGCTCAGGCTGGTTTCGAACTCCTGAGCTCAAACAATCCGCCCACCTCGGCCTCCCAGAGTGCTAGGATTACAGGCGTGAGCCACCGCGCCCGGCCAGTTTCTGAAGGTTTTAATCAGCCAATATCTTGTTTTGATAAAGAGCATCCAACTCTATTTGTTGACTGCTATTTGTTTAATAATTAACTAGCAAGTTTTTTCCTTGCAGTGACTGGTTAACATTGACCCTGTGAACATGGCCAGAGATTTCTATAGTCTCATCCATTGTCATCTGACAGTAAGAACTCTAGCCATCAGGTAAAAGGGAGGAAAAAGTCAAATACATTCATAGCCCTCTTACCTCAGCCCAGTATAAGAAACCTACTTCTGTGTAGGGAACAGATCATCTTCCTCAAGTGTAAGACCCTGTTTAACAGATTACTTCACCAACCCCACAATGAAAGCAGCCTGCCTGGCACCTTCCCAGGAGAACTTTCTTCTTGGCTACAAACAGTTCCTGCTATGACCATTGTCAGATCAGACTTGTCAGGGCCTCCCTTGAGCGCACTTCCATGAAGGAACCATAGGAGTCAATAAACAAGAGCCTCACTGTCATTATCAAACCACCTAACGTTTAGATCAGAATTTTTTCTGACTAGCCCAAAGTTTTTATAAGCATGATTTCTCCACTTTTCAGAGTATCCCTGAAATCCTCGTGCATTTTACCCTATTTTATTTTACAGTTCATAGCTAGATTTATAGCTTTTACATATTTCGACATCATATATGGGCCTCCATTCATGTCACCCTCCTGGGGATGACTGCTGAGTCTTCACCTGCAGCCACATCTGTCACCTGGTGTACAAGTTGAGCATGTCTACCGTGGAACTCATCGTCCCCAGATAACCGCCTACCTAACTTCCCAATTTTGCACAATAATGATTTCAACAGAAATGTTCTATTTCTTTTCATTTTAAATACAATGGTTTCAGTTATGTTATGGGTTGTTTTTTTGTCAGCTGGCTTGGGCTAACCACCATTTATCCCATGATTGCTGAGGGAAAAAAATTGCATTCCAGGTTCCAAACAGCTTATTTGTAGAAAAATGTAGCCCACATGCAAAAGGAAAGCTTCTTATTGCACCAACTTGATTGCAAACTCTCTTAAAGCATTTGTGCAATAAACATCCTAGGCACTCTCATAGATACTAAAAATTCAAAGACAAATATGCTATGGCCTCACCTTCAAAGAACTCACCACTTTAAAAGGAACAGACATGAAAACAAATAATTGCATTCCCCTGCAACACCTAGAGTAGTGTTTTGCACACGGTAGGTGCTCAGAAGCCGTCTGTTGATTGATGGTTGGTTGGTAGATATCGCTGATTCTTAAACGTTTTCTCCCACAGTACTCCCAGTGCTCCCTAAAATCTTTTGCCCCAGACCCACACTCAGGATTTTCTTTGCAGATGCTCCTGGTGCTCAGATGCCCCAGGGTCTATTCTGATCTTTATATCAGCATCACAAAAATTTTTAGAGGGAGGGAGGAGGGAAGAGGAAATCTGGGGGCAAACTCAACAATTGAAGGGAGCTACCTTGCCCCAATTTCAGTTTACCTCGGGCCCAAAACCTTTCTCCATATTCTGTAAAACAGTTGCACCCGACTCCCAGCTCTAGCTTTTTCTCAATAGAGAGGACTTTCTCGTGTATGTAGCAAGATAGGGAATTAAAAAGGTACTTTCTAAATTGAAAAGTATGTCATACACTATTAAGTGGAAAAGCAGATTATAAAATTACATGGTCAACATTATCCTTTTTAGTTAAAAATGTTATCAATGTAAATTTGTTTGTATGTGAACGTGCAACCTCTTACACATATATTGAAAGGAAATAAAAGCCTAAGCGCTATCCAACAAAACATTAACCATCTTTAATGGGATTAAGGGTAATTTTTACTTTCTTTTGTACTTTTCTGTAATTTTTACAATAAATATACTTTTTCCAAGAGAAGAAAACATATGTTTTAGTTTTCTATTGTTGCATAACAAATTACCACAAACAGCAGCTTAAAACAATACTCGTTTATTAACTCATAGTTGTATAGTTCAAAAGTCCAGACAGTCTCAGCTGGGTTGTCTGCTTAGGGGCTTCTAAGACTGAAATCCTGGTGTCGGCCAGGCTGAGTTCTTACTGGTGGCTCTGGGAAGAATCAGCTCATGCAGGTGGTTGGCAGAATGCAGTTCCTGTGGTTGTAGGACAGACATCCCTGTTTCCCTGCTAGTTCTCAGCCAGGGTTGCCCTCATCTCCTAGATGCCACTGTCAGGTCCTTGCCGTGTGGTCCCCTCTATCTCAGCCATAGGTAACTCCTTCACGTCAAATCCCCCTAATGCTTCAAATCTTTCCATCTTCCCCTGCTACCAGCAGCCAGAAAAAAAACCTGTTTTTAAAGGGCTCCTGTGATTAGGTTAGACCCACCCAGATCATCTACCTTTTAATTAACTCAAAATAAAATAAACTTAATTACATCTGCAAAACCTCTTTTGCCATATAAGTTAATATAATCACAAGTAATATCGCATCATATTTACAGGTCCTGTCCACATATAAGAGGAAAAGGTCATAAAGAGCATGTCCACCAGGGGGCTGGGATCTTAGAATTCTGCCTGTCACTGTGTGTGTGTGTGTGTGTGTGTGTGTGTGTGTGTGTGTGTGTATTTTAAATCTGCCCTGAATGTTAAGAATGAAATTCGTGGTAGACCTTGAAAGCCTCATTAGACTTTCTACCTCCGGCTGGAGGACAGAGATCACAGAAGAGGATGGATCAGAAATGAATGAGTCTGGATTTTGTTTGCCTTTGTTCATAAATATCTATCTCACTGAACTTCTTTATGGACATATCTTGAGCAACTTTGGACAACAGCAGTCAAAGGACTTGGACATTTGTAGGTCCAATACAGTTCTTTAGTGGATATAGGTTTCTAACTCTCTGATTCTCTTGCGTACAGTATGACATCGCTGGACACTCTGGAGATGGCTATGACATTGGCCTAGTTCCAATTAACAAAATCCCCAAGGACAATAAGCAAAGGCTAGAAGTTCTGAAGGTAAATACATTCAATTATCTCTATATTTTGAAAGCTTCTATCAGATCAGATAAAAACTAAAAAGATTCTTTGAAGAAGCAGTAGATAAAGGAAAGAAAAAGATTATCTGTTTCATAAGCATTCAAGCATTAAACTGAGAAAACATCCATTGTGCCTTAAAATACTTTTCTCCATCATATACAATTTAAAATTTGTTCCCTACATATTTGTAGAATACTCAGTATTAGAGTGCAGTCTACAACCTGGGCCTCCTCATATGTCCTGTACAGTTCTTCTCAGCTCCTACATGTTCAGTAGAAGGAAAAGAATGACTCCTTTTAGGATACTCTCTATCCTCAGTTTTATGTATTTCTTGTTATCTTCTAATAATAAATTCTATTTCATATACTTACATTTGCGATAGAAACACACATACCATGATTTTAAAGTAAATGTCCTCCATTACTATTGATGTGAGTACAGTGTTTGGTATCATAACTTCGTTTATTGGGAACTCAGCCTATCCTTATCTTTCTCCTGTTTCATCTCCATCCTCCAGCGTGATACCACATTTTATATTTTGTAAAATTTTCTTACTTTAAATGAAAGCTTGAATTTTAAAAGTAAGTGCCAACTGTGATAGTTTGGGAATGATTCCTGTTTCTAATGAAAGTCTATACCAAATACAAATATTGCTACGAAATATTGTTACTCAAATGTACAAATTAAATAGAACTTGGAGACATATTACTCATGTGTAATAATTAGTATTTATGCATTCTCATGGTCAACAGAAAAATCATCATGTTTTTCAAAAAAAAAGTCTCACGCATGGCTTTTGTGCAACGTCTCTTACCTCTAGACAATGCATGCCCACTCTCAGTTCTGCATGAGTGGGGACCACACGTTAGAGGGGACAGAACACGCCATCAAGGCAATTGTCAAAGAAGAAGCTGATGAGTACTTTGTCATAGTCTTGAGTGATGCGAATCTATCACGATACGGAATACATCCTGCCAAGTTTGCACAAATCCTAACAAGTAACCCTCAAGTAAATGCTTTTGCCATTTTTATTGGATCTTTAGGTGATCAAGCAACCAGGTAAGTGTCATCTTGGCATACAGCAAAAAGCAGGTACAGAGACACTGAGTAGCTGACTCAGTGTTTCATGGGCTTAGCATAGTGAGGGGCAAGTGGGGGAGATGGAGGAAAAATGGAAACTAGAGGCACTACCCTCAAGGAGCTCATAATCTAGTTGAGAGGATGTGTTCTAGCTTTTGTTTGTATAAACAATAATAACTTCAAATTAATTACTTTTTAGTTTATATTATAAAATAAATAGGAATTTGATTTGTCCACTAATCAATTAGATAGTATTTTATATATTTGGCACTTTACATCGAGGTCCCAAGCTCAGTCTAATCATTGTGTTTTCAAATCATACTTGAAATAGTGAACATCTACTATTTTCTTAGCATAAGGTGTAATGTGTGTGTCTGTGTGTATACATGCCTATATACATTATATGTAGACATATGTATGTAGACATATGTACAAATAGACAAGGGATGTCCAAAAAGTATCCAGCCACTGTTAATATAATGAGAACAGTTACATGGCTGGATACTTTCCAAACAGCCCACGTATATTATATCCCCATAGATATGTCTCCCCAGTAAGAAGGAATATATTTCTGTATATGTAAGTCTACATGTATGTATGCCTGTATATACATACATAGACATACATATATATCCCTTCTTACTGGGGAGACAAGGCAAGGTGAAACACTTAGAGACAACCTTAGACAATATACACAGATAAATAGTTAGATGCCATGCTGAATATACTGAATATTCAATAAAGAAATTTATCATCAGGCAATGAATACCACTGGGTATGGTTTGAAAGGAGAGATCTGGAAATACTTCAATAACTTGAACACACTAATGTTTATCTTTTTAAATTACAAAACAGAAAGAGCTCATGATTTTTCTCTGCTTAAAGTACCTGTAAGAAGCAGAAAACATGGCGAAGTGTGGTGGCGCATGCCTGTAGTCCCAGCTACTCAGGAGGCTGAGGCAGGAGGGTCACTTGAGCCCAGAAGTTCAAGGCTACAGTGAGCTATGATTGTGCCACTGCACTCCAGCCTGGGCAACAGAGAGAGACCCCCATCTCAAGAAAGAAACAGAAAATGCAAGTGAAAGTATATAGTATAGCTCCTTCCAAAAAAAAAGCAAAAATAAATAAATAAATAAAACTACCTAAAGCACAAAGGGCCTACCTTTTTATTATTACTCCCCCTCTTTTACCTGTCTTACTCTGTGGTGTAGAGTCCTATGTAAACTGGGAAATGTTTTAATATCCAAAACGCTGACATCTTTTTCTGTTCCCTTTGCCTTGCTGAAGGGCTACACAGTAGGGTTGAGAACAGACTTAATATCATGTTATTACAGCCACTTTTTTACAAATGTGCATTTTTCTTAGTTTTACATGTTAGCACTATGTGCCTTCTAGAACCTTGGTGTCCTTGAACTCAAACCGTGCCTTTTCTACCCAGATTTTCCTCAGCATCAGCTCAGTATTAGGCAGACAGCGAGCTCAACAAATACCAGTTGAGTCGAAATGGCTAATTTGTCTTTCTAGTGAACAGATCCTGTTTGAATACTTAGGAAAGCACAATAATACCCTTGTGGTTTCCTAGGGAAATGGTCCAACATCCACTGGCAAAAGATATGCTGCAGAATTAGCTGGTCTACCGGGCATGCCAAATGTACGATACTACGCAGGATGGTTGACTTTTATTAAATGTCATTCCAAAACCAGACTTTGTTGGCACAGTGGAAGGAGGCGTTCTTTTGAAGAGAACTGTGTCTTGCAGCTTTATTGCCTTCAAAAATGGCCTTTTGTTCCAAATGATAAATTGGTACTTGAAAAAATTGTCATAACTTCAATGGCATGTTATTTTTAAGGATAATTCAAACCAAAACCTGCTATAAGTTTTGAAAAATTTACTTAAAAATTAGTTGAAAAAATTATCATAAGCCTGTATAACCTCAGTTTCATTGAAGCAGCAATTGGGTTGCATTTCACATGTGTAATGTGGAGAGAGAGAGAGGGAGGGAAAAAGGAAGAGAGGAAAGACCACTTGGGGTTTGGCTGGGCCACATTTTTCGAGGCCTGTTTTCTAAGGAAAGAAAAGCACTTGGAAGTACAGTGTGAGGCCAACACATTTGCTGGACCCAGATGGGTCCCTAGGGTTCTGTTCTACCAGGGGAATATGAAATACCAAGAAACAACAGTAATAAAAAGAAAAAAATTTTTTCTTTTCAAATTTCCAATTTTTCTCACTGAAAAGACCTTACTTTCGGTTCACTGCTTTCACTGTGCCTCTCCCTGTTGCTCTTCCAAGCCATTCATTGCTTAGTGACAGCCAATTCAGCTTCCCGCAGTGAGCAAGGTATTAGAAAGTAAACACTTCCTTTCCTAAGAAACCATCTAGAGGCTGTGATTTGCCAGGGCAGGAGGCGGAAGGGGAACCCCAATTTGCAATGGTAATTTTCTTCCCTCTCCACCCTGGCAGGCTTCAGAGAACTTTACCCGCTGGCCGGTCTTTCGTTGCCATGGATACCAAGGACATCCCTCAGATTTTACAACAGATCTTCACCTCCACCATGCTGTCCAGTGTTTAAGAAGTGCCCTTCATCCCCCTGATGACCCCAGGATTTTAAATAAGATAGGAATAAAGAGTGTTCTAAAGAAAAGAAGGCATCGGTAAAGTGAACCCATGCAGTGACCGGATAATTCTGGCATTCCTGGGTCTTCCCACATTTGCTCAGTAATCAGAATTCAAGAAAGCAGCCAGAAGGAAACTTGTGCTTGGAAATCTACAACCACTGATGGGTTTAGAAGTCATTAGAGGAAGCGGGTTGACCTGCATTTTATAAAAGATCAGGTTTAAAGGAGGGTGGTTTTAAGAACTATGGTGCTTGATCCATTTCCAAAAACCTGAGGGAAAAAGAATACCTTGCTTTTGCCTTAACACATCCTCTGGTCACCTAAGATAAGAAAAGCAACCCCATCAAATTGAGCCTTTGATGCCACATTCTGACGTTGAGATGTAAATCTGTGCAAACTCCACCCAACATGCTCCTGTCTAATAATTACTTTCATTTTTTCCTTGCTCTGCATTGCCCGGCAAGCAATGATTTTATAGGATTTAACCCAAAGAGGAAAAGTCCTTCTGACAGCAGTATTTTATAGAAGGTTGGATTTTCTCAATAATTTCATTTTCTTGGCCAAAGCCAGAAGGAATCAAATGATCCTTGGAGTGCTTGCCTTCCCACGTGACTATTAAAAGGCTCTTTAAAAAATAAATAGCAAACGTCCTATTCTCCTTGCTGCGAGAACAGAAGAAGAAAGATGTCTTGCCTCAAGTTTCCTGTTTCTTCTTGTTTTTCTAGTGCTTCTCAAAATATTCACACTATTCCATTTTTGTGTCCAAATGTAATGCTCAAAGTAACAAATGCATATAAGAAAAATTATTTATTGAGAACATTCAAATAAAAATTACCTAAGGCAATATGGTAATTACCCCAATTTTATCATGATACTGTGTATGCATACATTGAAATACCATATTGTATCCCATTAATGTGTACAGTTGTCTGTCAATTATAAATAAAAAAAATAATAATTTTTAAAAATTACCTATGGCAAAGTAAAAACAAAGCAGTATGTTTGAACTAAATAGTGATTGGAGATTTCTCTAGCTATAAAAAAAAAACTTGTTTTTCAAGCCTCATTCTTTTTTCTTTCAAAGTGTACCTTATTCCCACCCACTCTTGGGCTGATCTTTATTTTTTGATAGGCTCGATATCACTTTGTTTAAAATGTTTCAGCAGAAGTCATTCTGTCTTCAACCATATAATGAAAACTCCTCTTCTCCATTTAATGGCAAAATCAGAAATGCCGTGGCACCAATGAATTGGAAAAACTGGTCTTAAATTGGTAAAACCAGTCTTGTTAATAATGTTATCCTGTTCACTCATGTATATTGAAATCGTGCAAGTCCATAATTTCATTTTATTTAATTATGGGACAGAAGAGAAGGTAACACCCATTTGTTCCACCACCCCATCTCCCTATCATTAACTGTCAAAGAAATAAAAGCAGTCAGATTTGCAACACAGTACTACCCAGTGAGTTTGCATGGCTTTCTTGTTCCTCTAGCCACATGCTTACTCAGTGTATTGAATCATCCAATGATGCAAACAATTTCAATCCAACAAGCACCTTTAAAAATGTAATTGCATTAATAATAACAGCAGCTAGCATTTACTGATTATTTACTGTGTGCCAGGTATATGCTAAGTGATTTCAAACATTTCATTCCGTCCTCACAACAATACATGTGAGATGGATATTTTCAAACTATTTTACAGATAAAGAAAATGAGGCTCGGAGAACTTGTCACAATCCCAAGATTCCTGATGCTAGACTATTGAGTAACTATTCATTTTACTATTAACATCTCATTTTGCAATAAAAAACTGAGACTTAGGGAAGCTCAAGAATGTTAGCTGTGCTCTCAGCCAGGCAGGGGCAAAGCCGGGTTTCCAGCCCCCGAGCCCTCCAGGCCTGTGCACTCTTGCATCCCCCACCTCGTGCTGCAGCGTGCAAACCTTCACGTCGCACTGCTGCTGCCTTTCTCTCTTCTCTTCTCGTACCCTGTCCTCGTTCACAGAGCTTGCTTCCTTCCCCTTGTATTTAGTTAGAAACTTTGCACACAGGCTCTCGGAGGTGTGGGGACAGAGGACATGGAACGCCGCCAGAGGAACATTTCTTCCTTCCTTCCTGGGCACAGCAGTGGACTGAAGAAGTGTCCATCCAACTGGCAGCTTAACCCCAAAGGGTGCCCTTTGCTAGTGGGTCACTGCCCCTGAAAGCCTTTGGAAGTAGAATCCAGGAGTGGTTAAAAGAACAGCCTTTTAACAAATCCTCCCCACGCATAACTACCTGAGTAAGCAGAAGCCATTTTCTTGACATGGAAAGAATGTTCTCAAGTAATTTAATTTCCCTTTCCCGACTAGCCAGACATCCTTTGCAATTGTTATTTAAAAAAAATAAAAGAACTCCTGGCTTTTATTTATAAAAGGGAAAGATGAGGAGGAAGGGGAGTAGACAGATTTATTTTCACTTCTTGCAATACCTAAGAAGTGTATGCATTTATTATTAAATATACTTAATTATGGGCCACTCCAAGCTGTTCCCAGGCCCTTCTTAGGGCCAGGACGTTATAATAAATGCATTGTGTGCCTCAGGGGGGTTCCACTGAAAGGCATCTATCCCCTGTCTCCTTAGTAAGCCCATGTAATGCTGAGAAGGTTCATTGTTACCGGGAGCAGCCGGGAGGAATGAATGCTGTGAATAGCCGCAGTATATGATGCATATTCCCCCTGGAATCCTTTGTGTGCCCGACAAAATGACCTCATCACAGATGGGGCGGCTTGAGCACAGCCACAGAAGTGGATCAGAGCAGCAGTACTTAAAAGAAACCCATCAGATGTTTGGAATGAATCATTTAATTCTTTACACACTTTCCTGTGAGCTTCAGAGGAGGAAAAATCCATCAATGCCAGCAAGATTTTCTCTAAACAAACTGTAGGGCTTTGAAAGCCATTTAGAAGTGGTTTTCAGTAGACAGCATTGTCAGTGTTCCTGAAAGGCCAATTCTGGAGCCCTCAACCCTCCCTCCACCTGGCTCCTTCCTGTGCCTGTCAGATCAGGCAAAATTAAATTCCTCTGTGAATAGAGCGGAGCCATACGGGGACGAAAGGACCGACAGGAATAGTCGCTTGTTGCTTTGCTCTCTGTTTCCGGCAATCTCAGTCATAGATATTCCACAAATTCTAAGCCGCCCTCTCCTGCCTGGACAACTTTTTTCTGGAACTGCATCTCAGAAATAGTCAAATGTCCACTTGTATATAGTAAATTGTACATAGCTTTTTCATCTTTTTAAGAAATAAAATGTTCACCTTAAAAGTTTTTTTCTTCCCATTAACATATATGGCTTTTAAAAATACTTACACGAAGAGTCCAATTTGTGGTCAGGGTTCTGCCGTAAAGTTTGTACCTATTGCCTTTTCTTTACCTTTGTTCCTAAGACTTGCTGTGGTAAAAGTACTACAAGTAACAGAAGAGAATTCCAATTTTCCATTCATGGGGAGAATTTACAAACTCTTGGTAGAATTCATCTGTAGAAAGGCAGTTCTGGACCGTGCACAGCTATTAACCACCTGAGTAAACTTGAGCTAGTCACTTGCGGGTGGCAATTGAATTAAATCTACGAATTAAAGGAGTTGGACAAAATGATCCCTAACACTAAAATCCTGTTCCATGATCTCACACTGGGAATTGGCTTGTTCCCCTATATAGCTCACAAGAGCCATATGACTTGAGCAAAACTTTGTCTCCAAAACCCTTATATACTCCAGAACCCTACCATTATACAGAGGATTTTGGCACCTGTATCAACTGCTCTAACGAAATAGCATTGACTGAATATGCAGACAAAATGTTGCACGAACATCATTAGAAAAAGGGGGCTTTCCCTCATCAGCTGGACAGATATTTCTGTTTGATAGTAATTCACAAGAGGTCTGCCTACTGTCTCATACTTTGCACTTTGCTGCCTTAAAATAGCATGACACGTCTGCCGATCTGCACAGTGGGACTAAAAAAAAACCAGGAATTGGAAAACTACTGTGTGCCCAGAGCTGACCTTTGTGCTGTAGCTGAACAATGCACGATTGTATTTTTAATTGTTAAATCCTGTAAACAAAAATCTCCTCCAGAGAGGAAAAAATGCGTGCCAAGCAAACATCTCAAGGATGATTTGACAACTCTTTTTTTTGAGACGAAGCGCTGTCTGGGGTGTTCGCCTTCAAACAGAGACCGCGTCTGTTCTTGCGAGGCCGTGCACGCTGGCTTTGGAATGCCAGGGTTACGTAATTTTAAAATCGAGTGGTGCTTGTGGTATTTGGCCACTCAGAGCAAAGTATAACGCTCTTTTGAAGTGGTTTGGATCCCAAGGGTGGCAAGAACGTCATGTTCTGCTGCAAGAAATCTCATCACGGGGACATGTAAGCGCTAACGAGCGTCAGCCACCTCTCAGGGCCCTTCCCCTTGGCAGGTGCCAGAGACACGTTGAGTCTTCCCACTTTTCAGAGCCTTCTGCGGAAGTTCTTTGGAGCCACTAGGCCTCTCCGTGAAGGAACAATCAGAGTGAGCATCAGTAAATTCAGACTCCACGGAGGAGTTTCAGAGTGTAAGAATTTATTAAAATGAAATGCAGCTCTGAAGCATTTAGTAATGGTAGCTGGAGTCTGACCTGCAAATGGAAGAAAACAATGTCTCTCTGAACATCCCGAAGCGAGTTTGCTCCTTACACAGACCAGAATATGGCAAGCAAATAATGAGCCTGTCAAGAGCACTTTGTGTAATTGCTCTCATGACATCATGGCCATACATGAAGCCTTACTGAGTGAAACTTGAAGAAAAATAAGTATATTTACTCTGACAGGACAAAGTTGGATTTTCACGTGCAAGGTATTTATATTAATAAATACTCATGCTAATTTAGTGAGACTGCCCATTTCTTCATTCCAGCACTAATTAACTTTCCCATCATCAGGACTCCAGAAATAGAGTGAGTCTCAACAAAGCTGGTTGATCCATTTTCCTTTACAAAAGAT